GCAGTTAAAATTTAATATTTGTTATCTTCCATGTATATATCCTTATATATAAATATCCTGAAATATTAATTCAAATAGAGATTTAAGAAATAGAGAAACCTTGTTTGCCAAACAAGTAATCGATTCTTTATTTATCAGATAAATAATTATTCTGCCATTTATCGGATGAGTGATCGATCCTTGTTTATCAGTAATACAAGTGTTTTTTTCTATTAAGAAAATATCTACAAGACTCTTTTAATAATTAAAATTATCGAAATTTTTACGTTTGATAAAAAATTTTTCTATTATATTTATTTCCATGTTGTTCATTATGGTGTCAGCCCAACTGTTATTCAACTCATCATAATAAATACAAACCGAAATTAGATTTAAAAATACTTGTTAAATGTAGCGAAAAGAGTTAAATAATGTAAGGCATTCAATTTTATTGTTATAATCTCCGCATTTACCGTAAATTTTCATACATCACTAAACGTCTTTTATGTAAATTAATTTGGATCCATTAAGAATTTAGTTTTGGCAAGAGCCTTTACTTTAAAAAGATATTCGATCATTTTCATAAAAATATCTTGATACTTTTAATAACTGCAGACATATCATTGTAGCTTTGTAGCATTGTAGTCTTTATCACTATAATTCACAGTTTATATGATGGAAGCTTAAATGATAAACGATTGATTTTAATGATATGAAGTGCTAGTAATGATAAAACAACAGTGGTAGACAGCAAAAATAACAATAGTACTGAATAATTATAATAATTCATAATGACTCTGAATGCAAATAACAGCACAAATGAAGCCACAAACATAATTTATGGTTACAGTGATAAAAATAATTACTAATGGAAAGAGGAATAAAAATAAATAAGTTAAATTGAGTTGTAATATTTTCAGTTTGGATTTGAACGCAGTTGATCTTAGTAGCCTGAAGTTGAAATTTGCGGGACTATATTGGGGGATCATAGCTATTGCTGGAATGGAATGGCTTCAAAGAAAAAATTTCGAATTCAAAGAAAAAAAAAACTATGAAATATTATTGACAATGTATATATACAATACAATATATATTGCGCATAAGAGCTAAAGATTTAGGATATGAAATAGAGGTTTTCATAATATAGGTATTGGTTATTTTGGTGTTTTTGCATTTAAATTGATCTATAGTTTGCAATAACCGTTCTTGTACTGCTCTTGATCACTATATGACATAATGAATTCAACCGCTTGGCTATATACTTACTTTTTACTCAAATAAATGAATAATAAAATCTGTGCAGTGTAAAGGTAATTTTCTTTTGAATTTTCGAAAGCGTCAAAAGCCTATGCAAAGCTGCGATTCATAAGATGACAGTTTTAATTACTATTATTGTTATTTTTATTACTATTATTATTAAAGTTCAAGGAAAAAGTATTTTGGCCTTTCTTTTTATATTTTATTTCTATTAAAAATGAATGAATAGTAAAAGTTTATAAAAAGATGTCAGTAATAAATTGATGATAAAAAAGAATAATTCCGTCAGATGAATGAAAACGCAATTGTTACAGATTTATATGTGCTATTGATGATCCTTAAAAGCAGAAGCGACTGCATATCTTAAACGTGGGAATCACTGGAATATAAGAAAATTAATTAGTAGTAAATATAAATCCATTCGAATACATTAATTTGATTTAAATTATGAATTATGATTAATGGAAATGATATAAATGTTCAGTCGATCGACAATTGTTGTTAATTGTGAAAGATTATTTAAGATTAAGATTTTTTATTCTTATCAATTAGTATTGAATAATGAATAAATGCATGCAATGTGATAAATTCTCGATAGATTTTCTTACTCAAATTTCTATGAATGCAAAAGTGAAACTTATTGATGATTGAAAAATTTTTTTTGTGTTTAACTTTTTCTAAATGCAATAACATAAAATGATAACAATCGACTTGACGAAAAGATTTGTTAATTAAACCCGAATTCTAAAGTAATTTAATTGGAATCCTTGATGAAAAATGCATTAAAAATTATTCGATACGATTTAAAATTTACTAAAAAAGAATTCATACCATAGAATTGTACATTTAATGGAAAAAGTTGTTTATTGATGACTGAAAAAAAAACAACGAATTCAAGTTTTTTTACGAAAGGTAGGAAAAAAATTACTTTATTTTACATAATTTCATCATAAATTTGTTAGTATCTCAGATTTCAGACTTTATAAATTTCTAAATTTTAAATTTGGTCAATTTATTATTTTCATTTTGGTATATCCTAGATCTGTGGAAACTTTTAGAGCGTTAGGTTTACTGCCGGCAGGGCTTTTCTTTCAAAAGTCTGGCTGTTGCTTGCGATCCTTCCCTAGTTTTATTTTAAGAGAGCAAAATTAGTCTGGTATGACAAATTAGTAGAGTGAGCGTATTCAGAAACGATAAGCGCTCATAGAAAAGAAATTTTAGTTCATTAAGCAGATAGATTGTTTTTATTTTTATATTGATAAATTTACACTTTATTTGGCCAAATTTTACCACTGATTTCTATAATTTTCTTACCGTAATTGACATCGAAAGATGTTGGGAAAGAAGAATATTTGATTTTTGAATAAATATTAAAATTGATATATTGGCTTATACATCTGATAATAAAAAGCAGCAAACGATTGAATTAATATTCTGCCTAAGGGATCTCATCAAGACACTTGAAATTTTTATAAAATTACCGTAGTCATTTTAGTAATGTTTGTAATGCTAATTCTTTGGCATAAAGAGGGAAAGATTTATTTCCGTGCTAACTGCTCATCTTCAAAGTGATGAGAGATTCTCTTATCCTATTCCAAGTATTTATATATCTATATTATCGGCTATTCTCGACAAGCAATCATCACTTCACGCAAAAATTCCTTACTCAATACATTATTCTCTCCTAATTTAAATCAGAAATTCCCTCCAAATTTTGATATTTATTTAAATATTTCGCTAGCTTCGAGCAATTCAATTTCTTATTTCCTTTTTTATTAAAGAAATTTCAATATAGGAATTTGGTTTTTTTCTTATTTAAATGCACGCATATATATGATTGATGCAAGAATTGATAAAATAAATACCAAAAGCACATAAATTATTTTTTAATTTTTACAAAATTAAAATTTGAAAAAAATTAAGCGAACTAACAAATAATCATAATCTTGTAAATAATCTTGTAAATAAATCCATTGAAGAAGACTTTAATGGGAATTTTGTTGCGAATTTTTTTCAATTCAATTTATTTAAAAAAATTCAGTTTTCAATTTTGATTCCCTTTTAATTTCTTTCTTTATTCATCACGTCTAATAAATTCCAAAATTTCCAGTAATTTCAAATTTTCAAAAAATTGGTGAAAATCTTGCAGTAACTAACTTGCTGCTTTAATATTGGGTTCATTAAAATCTTCTTTTATAGAAAAACGATCACAGAATTAATTTCATCACTGAAAAAAGAATGAAATTTGGCATAAAACATAAATTGAATGAAAACTGTGGAATTTCACTCCGTGATTTTGCACTTCGAACAATTCTTGATTCAGTTGTGTTTAAAGGAGAAAGCGTAATACTTGAATATACCGTAGGCTGAGTATGTAGACGAGTTCTGTAGATGGTAAGTAAGTCGAGCACAACACCATTCGTCCAACCAAAACCATTCTAAAAATTTTGCAGCATAATTTTCGCATATTCTGGCCTTATAATTTTCGAAATTACTAAAATTATTTTCATATAAAGTCATGTGAGAGATTTCATTGTGGCATAGTTATCAAAATGATGAAATTTGAGATTTTTGATACAGTATTAGCAAAATAGATTAGGCCAAACCTGGACTTCGTATTCACCACCCGCTCCAGGTCTTTGAAGGTTGCCAACGACATTATACTAAAATTTATACGTTCTCATAAAGTAGAGAAAATGTGCGAGTCACCTGTGCAGGCAACATTTTGGTATATATTTCATAATGTTTTTGATAATTTTTTTTCTAAAAGCACCCCTAAAAAACCATCTAGTTAAGCATTTCTGGCTCTTGGCTAGAACCAGACAAATTTTGAGAAAGCTGCTAGCACCACTTGGATTTTTGAACGATTTACTCTTGCTAAGAACAAAAGAAAGAGAACCAGCACCGATGCATGGAAATGGGAGCAACAGTCTACTGCGATAAGCGTTCCTTTCTCTTCATCAGTAATTTCACAATTTACCTAATGTCGATAAAAATAATGGAAAATATATTCAAGATTTCAGGTTAAAAAAATATAATAAAGCTTTCACTTTCGTAAGCCTTCGTAAGTCTTCGTAAGTCTTAATTAAATAATATTGAAAAAAACTTTAAAAAATGAAAATGCTCCTTATTCTTCCTACAGAAAGACAAATATAAGATTGAAAAATTTTCTAAATCAGTTTTAAATTTAAACACGAAATCAAAAGAAGCTCTATAAGCCTAAAAATACCTTTTCCCACATTCTTTTAGTGATCCGATAAACTTTATAATTACCCATAATCCATTTGTTCGCGAGACGATAAGCCTAAATAAATAATAATAAACAATTAAAATATCGGTATCCTTATCATCTTTACATTCGTTTCGTTTTGTTTCCTCTTTATTCGAATTCGAACCAAAAATAGAATATAGATTCATATTTTCTACCTAATTTAAATTTTAAAAAAATTATGCATGATACATGAAATTATGCAAATTATGTATGAAACTGCAGCCATGTGAGCCACAGCTCTAAAAGCGCTCAATTAAGAGGAAAAACTTGTAATTTTATGTTTAGAACGAAGAAATATGTGAAAGTTAGGATTTCATAATTTAATCTAACATTGATTTTATCAAAATTTTCTGAAAAAACAAGTAATGTGGTTCATTTTTTCTGTTTTTCGAATATTATATTTATATAAAATTCGCTTCGAACCAATAAATTTATTGATAGCTAAGCCTAAGCCTTTGCCATCTATCATATTCAGAATGAAACGGCCAATGATTTAGTAAATCGAATTAAAAAATTTGACCTGATATTGCATTTGAGCATTTTCAGATTTACGCAGTCCTTCGATGACCATATGATTTAATGGACCAAAGCCATTTGGAAAATCCCACTGCTCATTGCTATTCACAGCCAAACTTGTTGGCAAACCACCTGGATATGAGAATGCTCCCACCTTCTGAGATTTTCAAAATAATATTTGCCTCTGCTATGTTTCAAAAATCAAAAATATACTCCTATTACTATTTACATAAATATTTGTATTTTAATAAATATTTATAAATATTTTATAAAAAAAAGTATAAGCAAAGAAAAGCATAAGCATCATTCATTTGCATTTCCTCTTATAAATATCACAGAGCAACTGACTAATGAATTACATCTCCGTCATACAAAGTGAATAAATTTAACAAGTCAGTTGATTCCAATAATTCCAATTCATTAGGTTTTTTTTTACTATAGAAGCAAAATTTAAAAAGAAAATGTATAAATGAAAACTAACATGCATCAACTTGAAAAGCCGTTCAGATTTTTGTTGATTAAGCATATGATAACATCCTGTGAATAAAGGTACAGCTATCGATGGATAAAATTTGGTATTGTGCCTATTTTCTCGCATATTATAATCGTACCAAGCACCCATCGTTCTATTATAAAATACATTATACATAGCACTCCGAAAAACTGTTCTAATATCCCGATACTTTGCTGATTTCACTGCATCACCTTTAAACCAAAAATTCTTAGTACATGAAATTTATAATTTATAATATAGCGAAATTATCGCTTAAAAAAAAACTTCATCATTATTATGTAAAAAATTGGGTATAAAAGATAAAAGACTGATACATGAAAAATATGGCAATTGATATTTGTGTAATTATTTTAAACGAAGATAAAACCATTCTGTCATAAAACTTTTGTAAAAAACATACCAATTCTTTCAAAAAGATATTCCAAGATATCCATGTTCCAACACATAAATGCATTTAGGTCAACAGGTAGAATTTTGGTCGTTTCAGCTGTATTTAGTGATTGTCCATCAGCGAACCACCTTGTACTGAAGTCCCATCCAGATTCTGCGGCACTTGCTATGTTCTGAATAAGATTTTTTCACCGAAAAGATAACCATAAATAACCATAACCATAAGCACAATAGCTATAAGAATATTTAAATAAAATATTTGTTGATTAAAAATAGCAAAATTTTACTTTTATTGTTTTTCATTGCTTCATTGTTTTTTCATCATTTTTTTCAAAATCAAATTATGATGATTTGCAAGGAATGATTTTGAGTAAGACAGATATTGAGTAAGAAATAGGCCTAAGTTTCGTGTAAAATTTTTCATTGCGAACATGCTTATAAAGTAAAGCTGTTCAACATATGTCAACTTTAAAAGAGGATGATAACCATTAACAATTGCCACAGTGAACTTCGTGTGTGTATCGACGTTTATTTCATAAAAAGTGAGTAAAATTCAATTTGCTGGTAGATTATGAAAATTTTTAATGGTTTGTACATACTATAATAGTTAGTTTTAGGAAAATTTGGTGGAATATTCGCAATTCTCTGCATATTATTAGTCAAATAAGTCAGCATTCAACAGTTTATTCTTTTCGTATCGTTACGATTACGAAAGAATGACCGTATTCCTAATTTGCCTATTCACTCATACTATATACTTCCTATTCATCATATTCCTACTTCTTCACTTTACTTTCCACCTTTTACTATTGCTACACGTTTCTCATTTAAAATAAAATAAAATGAGTCAAAGAAATGTTAAAATTAACACTAAAATTCTTTAAACCTGCCACAGTGTGGACTTATTCATGACATCTTGAGCAGTTACAAGATCCTCTCTATACGATTCCGGCCTAGGCACATTACTTTTAGCACGATACTGATATACTGTATATCGCTGTTTATTCTTCATCGTTACATTTATTGTTCTGAATAAATTTTGAAATTTTTTAAAGGCCAAGTTTTTGACGACTTCAAAATTTTATAATTGATTTACTTCGCATTATATTGATTTTGCAGACCAGTCCAAGAAAAAAAAATTCTTATATAATTCTTTTTTTAAATATATTCTATTGCGCTTCTGAGCTATTGCCTTAATGGAATTTTTGGAAAAATTTTTGAAGATTCGTAAAAATATAGAGACCTCTGTGTGTGCCAAAAACTGAATTCTTTTTCCAGTGTAGGCAATAATTCTTTCACAAATTCCGTATCTTGGGTACTTTCATAGTATTCATACACCATACCACTGAGAAGCGGTGGCTGTGATCGTTGTAAATAATAAATTCTCCCACCATTCGGTACAAATCCATATCTGAATTGCACAGATCAATAATATATTTAATTTATTTAATTGTAGTGACAAAATGGACAAGAATTGCTTCGACTAAGATCAAGCGTGATGGCTTAGATTACTGTCCTTTGACGGGAATAATCGTGTCACTAAAAGCGAAATCCGGGCAATACTGGATGCATTGTGTGTGCACAATTTCTAACCTAGTGCCTCTTTGGCGAACGAATCAAAAAAGTCAATAATCGAGATAAACCAGAAATGGTGAGAGGACGATGCTGACGAAGTTGATGACGATGATATGAATTATATTTGCATTATATAGCAAGAAAAAAAACACAAAAAAATGAAAGCCTTAATTTTTTGCTCTCCTAAAGAGCCTCTGCATAATGCAAAAAATTAGGCTAACTTAATTTATTTAGTGCTAAATTTATTTAAGAAACTTGTGTATAAATCTTAAAAAATTCTAATCTGACGTTTATTTTAGCAATAATTTTGGTTAAATTGTAGTACCGTCTTCTTGTTAATAACTCATTAATTTAATGCGCTTTCTCATTTAGTTAATATTTCACTGATTTATGGTACATTGCATTCTATCGTTCCTTAGCATTTTACTTTTCTTGGCGGTTAAATCTCATAACTTTTCATCATTACTTCTAAAAATCTTCAAATTTTTTTCAACAATAATTTCACTTTTTAACGATATAAGCCAAATTGAGAATCATGGCTCTTGCGCTAATGAACATATCAGATGCCAATAAGCCTTTAATGATCCAGTAGGCATCCCAATAATAGAATTCTCGAAAACGACCTCCAGGTATTATAAATTCATGTGGAACATAAATCAATGAATATCGAGATTGATGAGTTTCGACAGATGCATTCACCTGAAATCAATAACTTGCTTTTAAATTTGAACAAGAAGGAGTATTTTTTTCTTCAAAATACTTCAAAACAAGTAATGTAAATGCAGAAAAAATCTTTATTTTTTAGTTGCTTTTGATCAAAAAAATATTTTAATGATTGATATAATTAAGTGAAATAAAATGATTCAGTGGGATGTGGTTCTTATTTCGCAGCAGCTATGGGGTGTTCCTGATTAGGAATAAATCCGTTTTTCAAAAATCCGAATGGTACCAGCGACTCGCCTCTAATTATTCTGCCAAATGATACCATCACAAAATTTGTCTTCTCCGATAAATTATGGAACGAGCCTAACCAGAAATGGTATTTTCAGAAAAAAGGAACTAAGTGATTAAGTGAAAATATTGTAGATAAATAAGTAATTTTTACAGTCAAAATGCAAGCATTTTGCACAGAAAAGATTTTTTAAAAAATACTTCAAACATTTAAATTGATGGTTCTTCTGAAAATTCTTCCTCAATTATTGTTATTGAAATTAACGAACCGTCATTTAAATAAGAGAAATAGAGAAAGCGACCAGAAATGTTTGATATAAGAAATTTTGTTTTGCTTTCATAACATTTAAATGAAAATATGAAAAACAGCGGTTAAATTAACAAGGAAGTAAGTGGTTAGATGATCATTTTTGGTTAGATCAACTTTGTTGATTATTAGCAGAATAAAACAATTTCTGTCAGAGAGTTAGTTAAGGATAGAAGATGTAGGTGCGTCCTCAGCACCCGTCATATTTTGGCATTAAAAGTTTATTATTGCTGTGGATAGATGCGATCAGGATAGCTCGACGTGATAATCTAAGCAACAATCGACATGAAATTCTATCCATAATGACCAAATTAAAGAAAATTTGATTCGAAATTACGAAAAATAATGGCAAAATTTTCTGTTTATGAATTGAACGAGCGTTTATTTTATTTTTTTAAAATGTTTAAAAAAAAATTAAATGTTATTTTAAAAGAGCTATAATTATTTAATATGAATTTATCAGAAAATGAGGATTTGAGTGAAAAAAAACCTTCTTGCACAAGCTTTTCCAAATAATATTCAACTCGAGAGCCCATTCTCGCAATAATGGGTCAGCGATTTGCATCAGTTTTGGTGGAAAAGGTGTCCAATCTTTTGGTGTGCAACTGACAAGTTCACTGCCAGAAGGCATAAAGAATTCATTGAGGAATCCTTCTAAATCTTTTCGCTCAATTTCCATCAAATTTTGATTAGCGAATCGTTTGTTGAATTCATCCATGACAATTTCTACAAACATTTTCGCTTGTTTGAGAAAAATTTGTATAGATTTGCAAATAAATTTTTCATTCCAAAAGTTCCGACTAACACATCGATGAAAAAGTGACTTATAATCGATCAGCAAACCTGGATTGACTTTCATTGGCATGTCGACAAAAGTTTTCGAATCATCATATATTTTATGAACATTAACTGCTTCAAGCAAACGCCCAGAACAATAGATGAACCTAGAAATGAGATGTTAGAATAAAATAATAATAATATCTTTTGTAAAGTGAGAAATTTTTATAAGAGAATTTTGAAAGAATGCAAAACCAGTTTGTTTGCAAAACCACAAAGCGAGTGGATAGTACATTCGGATGGCTTTAAACAAGAAAAAATCGCTTCGTTTATGCACGAGGAAACCACTGCACGCAAACTCTTTTAGTGTTATACTTTACTGTATGAAATAAATATTATTTCAAAGAAGAATTTAGAAAATAATTTTTTTTCTGAAATAATATTAACCACTTTTTCCATTTGCCCTTTAGCTTATTTTATAAAATTACAGCGTAAGTGAATTATAGAATCTGGTTTCGTGTAATAATCGACTAAGTATGGACTAGTTTGGAGATAGTTCATTGAATCTCAAAGTTCAAGTTATAAATCGATCGCATCAACATCTCTATTCCAAAAATTCATTGCAAACTGAGGATGATGCTGGCGATTCACCTATACTCCTCCTATCGCCAGTGGACTTCATGGTATATTTATTTACTGTGAGAAGTGAGAAGCCAGTCGAGCGAGTTTAAGCAGTAATAGTGAATACTCCTTAAAAAAAAATGAGTACTAAGAACCCTTTAAAAATGAAGCGCATCATCTTCGCTTATCATTTGGTGATTGAATGAAGTAACATCGTCAAAGAACAAACCAATTATTAGAGTTGTTTTGATCACAGGCATGAATAGTTTCATCAATTAGTGGAATTTCATCGACAATAGCAACAAGTTCCTCATCTGCAAAATCTCCCAATACTGATTGAAGTTTTAATAAAATTATCGTTGATGAAAATATCGCTAGCATTGACGATGAGTGGAATATGTCATAAAAATTGAATTTGATCGTAAATATATTTAAATATTTATATATATACATATATATTTATACATACATACAAGGAATAATATAGGCGGCACCCACAACTCATCGAGAAAAACTGTGATCAATATTTTTTAATTTTGAGCAATTTTCTATCTTTTCTTTACACTTAAATAATTATTTTAATTGCTGGTTTTCTTGAAACACACTAAAAACATTGAGAAAAAAAAAAACATTGAGAAATAATTTCAAAATATGTTTATTGCTGTTGGAAAATTGTAGGAATGTTTGAAATTTTCGCCAAAATATCCATTTCATTAGAACTCAACTATATTTCTGCCCTCTATGAATGACCTGCCTTATGAAGGAACCCCTTGTGATCAGTGAAGCTAGCCAAACCAGAAATGGCGAGAATATGTATCAATATTATTTTTTCTCCTTTTTCTTCAAATGCAGTAGCAAATGTAACACTGCACCATAAATAAATTATAGAATCTATCGCAAACGATCGGATTCGGACTAGTTTAGAATTAAATCTCTTGGTCTAAGCTATAAATAGCACCGATATTTCTGTTTCAAAACTGCATCTCGAATCAAATTAAATAGAATCAAATATAGAATTAAACCAAACATAGAAACATAGCATTCATAGCCATTCGGTTAATCCATGGTTTAAGCTAATTGAAAGCTAATTAAATGCATGTAAGCTTAAGCTAGTGCTTTTTTACTGGCTTAAATTAGAATTCCTTTCCAACAAAAATTTCATTGAATCTGTTTTTGTGAATTTTTAAAATGCATAAAATATACTGTTAATCTCGTTGTTAAATTAGGAAGGAAAAATTTTAAAAGAACTATAAATATACTTCATCGATAGCGAAAAAAAATTGTGGAAAATGATGCAGTGACGGTGTCGAACCTGTCAAAAAAAATCGCCTATCAGCTTTTTAAATTTAATAAAAAATAATCGTTGATAATAAAGCAGAAAATTTCTACTTGACAAAGATTGTGAATTATGAATTATACATCTTAAATCCAAAAGATTAATCTTTACGAAGACGCCTTCACACAAATCTTCGTAAAGAGAAATGAAAGCGCAAGATTGCAGAATTTAGGTTATAACTTATTGCACATATTATAGGTACATTTCCGCTTCTTTTTTGAAAAATTCGCACAATTTCTGACCAAATATGACGAAGAAAATGTGAAACGAATAAATAAAAAATAAAAAACAGGTTTCCTACAAAAAAGTTCGTATTGAAAAATGGCTTGTTTTTAATATTAATGATTGTTTTCATCACAGCAGATACCACGCTTCTCATTTTCTTGGATTCGTTGCTTGAGCTGTTCCATCGTTTCTTCTTCCAATTTTCTTATGTCTTCCAGAGTTAGATCGTACCATTTGTCCATCCAACAGAACAATTCTCTACAAGTTTAATGAAGAAATTTCGATAAGATTTAAAAATAAAACTAATTCGAAACCAACGATCCATATTTCGAAATTTTTTTTCAGACTCATTTTAAATAAATGAAATGAAAAACAAAAATGTGGATAATTGAATAGCGATTATTGGCATCTCACCTATAGTCACCTACCTGTTAAATTTGCTAAATAATCGTGGATATTGTTTTTGACATAAATTTTCTAATGGTGCTTGTAATCCAGCAATTTTGCAGTGGATTTTTACAACCTTAAGTGAAACTTTGTGATAAATTCATAACAGTAATACAGTGGAATTAAGCAAGTAAATTCATTTTCAGTCATTTCCTTATTTACTTATTATCCGATTTATTTTATATTCTTTTATTTTTTTGTACATTTTATATATATATATATATATATTTTATATTCTTATCGTTGGTCTAAGAAGTAATTAACTTTAAAATTAAATGAAATTGAATCATGTAAATGGTGCAAAATTCGAACTGTTACTTGTGACACCTGTCAACTTCAATTAGTCAATACAAAACGTTTCTTTGTTTTTTGGCGAAAAATCAAAAATTTACTTTATAACAACACATAACTGGTTGTGTATTGGTTGTTGACCAATTTTTATTCAGTTTACCTCTTCCAGTTTTTTCTGAAATGAAACTTCGAGGGTCGGTTTCTGGTGTTATATCCTAAATATTATAAATAATGCCAATGACAATTTTATTCTTAAAGCAAGTTTGTTCAATTGCACAGAAAATTATTGAGTAATTTTGTGATTAAAAGGAGAAAAGAGAATTTTATCCGTGGTACTGAAAAAAAGACAAACAGTTTTTCGCAGAAAATGGTCATCAAATACATCGATAAAGATCACTTTCCGCTCCTTTAATTGATCATCGTTTAGATTCAATGCCTAATGATTATTCAACCAGTAATTATAAACAAAACGCATTATTCTTACATTTTAATATTCATGCGAGATGATAAAAAATTATTAAAAATTATTAAAAATTATTGTTTATTATTAATTGATAAAAATTATTTGGTTGACAATAATAAAAGAATTACTGAATCTTAAAGCAATTTTTTTTTAAAGAGCATTCACCATTACCATTTAGACTCACTCCTCTATTTTTGTCACACTATCTATGCAAATATGCCAGGAAATTCGTTTTCGATAGAAGGATCGCTAACATTACCCGGATTTTTGGACAAGTTTACTCTTGCCGAGAGTGGAATTTCAGCATCAACACTCAGATTGAGCAAAAACTCACTGAAGTTGTACTCTCTCCTTTGCTTTTCTCCGTTAGATGACACTGTCGTCCGACGAAGAGGGGAATTTAAATCCAAGCATCGATTTTAGTAATTATCTTTCCACTGAACCACCGATGCAACGAATTAATTTATTGGTGACCAATTGTTATTTAGATCGAGGATTATATATCAGATAATCCAAAAATATGTATAAAATTTAAGGATATTGAATATACGAATCGTGGATTCGGAATCTCGATTATTACTTATAAGACATAACGAACATTTTCCGTTTCTCCTTTGTCCGCAATATGCATTGTTTCAATAATTATAAAAAAATTCTCCTTCATGTAATTCGGATTCTGCAAAATTTTCTTCATTTACAATGAATGCTGAAGACCGTTTCACAATGACGAATTAATAAAATTAAAAATTAAAATTATTAATTTCATTACCGTTATGACAGTTTTGCAAAACGGATAAGCGTTCCAACTTTCTTCAAGCAAAGTAAATGCTTTATCAGGCAAAATTTTGCGGAATAATAAAGGTGATTTAGATTTTGAGCGAAACATTTTCAGCGTATGCACACCATAAATCGTTTCTCCAGATCGTATCGTTGAACTTGTAAAAGGTTCTTGCTTTATCACCTGTATTTAACGAAAAAAAAGGACTGAATTATACTTGCGAAAATTTTTTTAGAGAAGCTATTAGATTAATCGAGCTGTACTATTGTGGTGTTATGGCCAGAAAAGTTTAACCTCAACACCATCACCTCCACCAGTTTCATTCTTACTAGTTTCAGCCACTGCAAACAACTGCGCACGATTGTATTCCTCTAATGTAAGAGGCAGTATAATCCGATACTCCTGCAAATTTGCAGCATGACAGTGTGTGATAACAAGAATGATTTCGTAGTAGTCACAAGTAATATAAAAATCGGCCAAGTTAATTGAACCTGAACCTTTACAGAACTTTTGTCTTCTCAAACCATTTAAACTCTGATTTTTCGATGAATTATAAATTTAATCTAAAACTAAACAATCTTCATTCGCTTAGAGATAAGAAAATAAAAATTTTTTTCATTGATTCATAATAAATAATACTATTAATGCTTGAATTTCAATGCTTGTAGGCAACGGATTGAAGCTATTCAATTCAGTCTGTAGGATCAATGAGCTATCCCACAATTTCATCAGAAATAAGTGCTAGAATATGTCACCTCACGCCGCTATTCCTGTTTCGTCCATTTCCAGTTTTAAAATGCAAATTCTGTCAGATTATCAGTGAAATTATTTGTTATACTTTACTGATAATATTGCTATCGTATTGTTCGTATTATTAATAATATCCCCTGTCTCTTTCTGCTTTTTAAATTTTATGTTACCTTTCAAATTTGGTTTTTTTTTTAAATTTGCTTAAACGTGCATAAATTTTAATGCCTTCTTTGATTTCTTTTAGAAGTAAACGAAAAATTACAAATATTTCAAGTATTCTCAAATAAATATTTCTAAAATTTAAAGGCTTTCTCACAAATTCAATAAATTCTGATAAAGCAAAACCACTGGCGAAATAAATAAAACCCTTAAACCTTTAAAATCATTTTGCTATTTAATTCATAAACAATATAATTCAACCGATCGACACCAAACAATTCGCGAAAATAATTTTTTATTTTTATTATACAAATTAATGTTTTAATAAAATGTTTTCTTGCAAAAAAATGATTTGATTATTGCATTCAAATTTTCGTCAATCGATTTACTATTAATGAACACATTTACACAAATACTTCGAAGCAGTTTATTAAAAAAGCCAACTCATTAAAAACGATAACTCAACAAAAAAAAAAAAATATTTGAGACCAGCAATTTGTAAACTTTTTGTTTCTTAAGGGATCCCCAGCTGACCACTGACGCAAATTTGGAGAGCCGCTGTTCTCAACGAAAAATTCAACAAATGAGATCAAATGGCGTGATATGATGAATAACTAACATAACTGCATAAATGTTTGAAGCGATTCAAACTCTTCTGAACTAAAGGAGCAGTTTCTGAAAAAAAGAAATAAACGGCTTTTATAAAAAAAGCCTAATGCCTGCATATTATTTTTGTCCAATAAACATTGATTTTGAAGATTTTAAAAAAACTCACTTAAGATAATCACCGAAATTCATAACAATTCTTGCAAGAGCACAGTTTAAAGATGTTTCAAGGGCGGAAAGTGAGGCTGAATGAACCCCATTACCCCACGAATCCTTAAATAGATAATCATATGAAAGGACATAAAAAATTAAAATATCTGACTCGTATTAAGAAGAAATCACAAATCATAACTGCATAAAAATGAAATTTAAAAGACGGGACCCCTTTTATATTTTTCATGTAAATCAAGAATTTATTCATCGATAACGATAGCGATAACTGCAGCATACACGAAGTGATATATTGAAGATCCTTCTGGACGATACCATAACTATCTTCTTTCAAAGAAAAACAAACCAAACTACCTAAACCTGAAATGAAAAGCTTGCTTGGAAATTTAAATTTTTTCAGTTATCTTGTTTCATACTGACAATGAAATTAATCACGAAATTGATATAAATAAATACAAACTCTCAATGCTTAATATAGTAAAGAAGAGAGCGTCTTCTGGGAGCACTTCCCTATACTTGTCTATTTTCAGTATGAAGCGTTGCAGACGATGAAACACTGTTTCGTAATTTGAATCCATATCAACAGCGCACTTTTCTGCACATGGAAAATTTTCTAAATATGGGAAAAAATTAAATCAAAGTGAAAATACATTTGATTTTTACCACTGAAAAAATCAATATATCAAAATCAAAATCTTTAAATTATCTTTTCTAATAAATTATCACAAAAAATTCTCCACAGTCCACAAATGTTTAAATAATGTGAAGAAAACGAACAAATAAGTGATCACTACTTACTACTTACTATTTCCGATAAGATCCACTCAACTAATTGTCAAAAGGATTAAAAATTCTTACCAGAGAGTCACTTATAATGTTAGAAATATAGGTGGGTCGATAGTACCACAACGGTTCTTACACGCTTCCGGCAGAAGCAAGAGCCAAACTCTTGCCTCCCAACACGATAACTACTATCTACTCAAGTGTCCCACAAAACAAGTAACAACGAAACAAGCATTAAAAAAATAAAAGATTCTAAAAGTAAATTTTTCACAAAAATTGTGCCTCGCTTGAACCAATTCCAAACGAACAAAGAAGGGCCTTTAGCTTGTCTCCATCTAGTAGCATTTTTGACGAGTTTCTGCAAATTAATAAAACACTTTTTGATTATGGAGATAACTAATGGCATATTATTGAACTAAATTTTTGATGTTCTTTAAATATTTTGACCATGATGGTCGAGCGGTAGTTGGTTCTACTGAGGTCAAATTTCATGGTTCAACCTCGCTCCTTAATGGAAGTCATTAAAAGCAAAGTCTCGGTGGTGCTAGGATCTACCTAGCATGCATTTCCATTTCCAAATGATTCTTTGGTTCTCATCCTTCTAGTACAGCCAATCAAACTAGAAATTTAAATGCTATTAGAAACTAATTATTCTTACCAAATCATCGAATTTTTTTACAGATTCCTTGTTTTGCTCATTAAGACAGTCAGTAACATGAATGATATTTTGTAAACATGCGTCCCTAATACAACGCCAGTTTCGAGGATGCGAACCTGGAAAAAACTTATACCTTATTAGATAAAACCTCTGAGCAACGAAAAACCTTTAAAAAGCTTAAACCTTGTTTTAAATACATACTGCAACAAAAACTAACTCACCAGGTAAACTCAATGAGAAAACCTGAGACCTGCGTTGCTTACTATCTTTAGCCAACATGCATAAGTCCGAAAAAGCAAAAGCCTAAAAATAAATAAACGTTTAATTAAACTGCTAAAAAAACACATTATCTGGAAGATAAGTCTTTGAACAAGTCTCTAAGTTTTTTGTGACTCATTAATGATACTGTACTATATATTATATATAAAAAATATTAAGCAACCAAATGCGAAATTTATTTCGCAAAAGTACTATAAAAATAATAATTTGCGTGAAAAAATTTTTTTCAAATTTACCTTCAAATCCAAAGTGGAAGAATTTAATGCATTCAAGAGAGTCGTCTGGTTTTCACTGGAAATTTGGATAACTGTGTAAGGAAGTGGAAAGTTGAATACAAAACGCTGTAATAAATTCATTACTGTAATAAAATTTTTTTGAAAATGACATTTATTCACTAGCTTAATGGATCTTTTTTTATTATTGCCGATTCCGTTTTCGTCGAACAAAAAACTAAACTGTGAAGAAAGGTAACGTTATATCTAAATGAAAAATGAATGCACAACTCTGCAAACAAAATTATTTGTTGATCAAAGAGAATTAGTCAAATCAAACTAAAAGCGGAATAGCTTAAAAGCGGAATACACTAAATCATCGAACATCTCTTACTAGTTATTTGAATAACTGCCAAATTACTTTAAAAATTATAAGACAAAATTAAAATTTATACTGAGCTTTAAACTACAAAATACCATTACTTCAAGGAAAAACGATTTGAATATTCTTATAGACAAATGGTGCAGCAAATGATGGGTGAAAGCCAGAAAAAATGCCACATAAAATGCTCTTGGAGCAAAAACGATTAAAAACACCGAAAATCTATTGATAAGTAATCCTAAAAAAGAAATTAAAAAATGAAAACCAAAGATAAAAACTAAAGTTTTTTAGGCATATTTCCCCAATAAATGGCAAGAAATGGATAAAAATGAAATGAAAATGAAAAAAATGAAAAAAAAAAACATGCCAATCACAATAAAAGTATACAAAATTCTTTTCAAAATTGTCAAGAAATCATCGTTTAAAACAGCTTCCAATGTTGTGAAAAACGTTGATTTTAATCGATGCCAAATAGAGAACTATAAAAAATCAAAACTTCACGTTAATTTACGTTAATTTAAAAATTAAATAATTCTATAATTTTAAAAACGAAACCTATTAATTTCTCTCGAATCTGTATAAATCTGCATTAATCTGTTGAAAAGACTTGTGAAAAAAATTCTCAATTTTTTACTCACTCTTCAAAATGTAAAATTTTTTTGTTCAACCTTATAAATTTTATCACTTTAAGGCGACGAATACCACAAAACTCATTTTTAAGGCTTCACCATTCCCAAAATTCCATTTTGCCCGACCCTATTGGTACTGATCTCTCAAATCTTACGTAATGTTTTAAAACTTTCCAAGCGACTTCTTCGGGACCTCTTTACGAACAGCGTAGTTATTTGACTGAGGAAATAATAAAATCCTGCAAATCCCTAAAATCTCATTAATGCTTCCATCTCATTACTCCTTTCTATAGTTATATATATATATATATTTTTTAAATTTCATTGTCTATTTTATTATTTTCTTCAAATTTAATTTTTTTTTTGTCTTTGGCAGGAGTAAACCTGCTATATGTCAAATATGTCAATATGTCAAAAATCCGGGTGGCTGCTGGGGACCCAACTTTAACTCTATCCTCAAGTGACTCTATGGTGAAAGGGTCAGACACACTTGGTACGGCGTTCGTGTCTTCCGACGCGCATGATACCCCGGTGGAACATGTGATAAGTATACAATCCGGGCTTAAAGCGATCCCAAGGCTGGTAAATAAAATGTGCTCGCAAGCCAGGGTAATTGCTCGAAACCTATCAAGGGGAACACCTCTCTGCACGCGCGGCGAGGTATTAGCCGTATCAGCATGGAACGTCAGAATGCTTATGGAAGTTGCAAGCCAAGCGATCACTGTCCAAACCCTGTGTAAGTATCGTGTGGATATCGCTTGCTTGCTGAAGGTCCTCATTTTGAGTCTCGAACAATTATTAATCCTGGTTCAGAGCAGAGATACTGGCTATATCACTGTGGTGCTTCGAATAACTCGGGACGAAATGGCGTAGCGATTGTCATGTCTGACAAGGCCCATTCCGCTTTGACTGAGTGGAAACCGATAAACCGTAAGGCCTATGCCCGTTTTAAGAGTAAGTTCTGCAATATCTCGGTCATTAGTATCAATGCTCCAACTCTGTCGGCAGATGACCATGATAAAGATAACTCCAACTGCTAACAAAGTCTCTACCGAAATATGATATGATCATAATCGGGGGAGACTGGAATGCTCGGATAGATCATAATGTAGCTGCGATGATCTCAAAAATTGGTAAATATGGCATCGGAGACCGGTGTGCCAATAGGAACGTCTTCTTCGTCATGTCGAAGAGCATGAATTTTTTGTTACTAATACTTACATCCGGCATCATAGAAAGCATCTAGTCACGTGGGACACCCTGGATAACCAAAACTTCAACCAGATTGATTATATCTTAGTCAGTCGCCATTGGAAGAGTTCCGTACTAGATAGTCGTTCTTATCGCTAAGCTGAAACGGGCAATCTTTATGAACCTGACCATGTTATGGTTCGAGTCAAGATCCGCATAAAATTTACAGTTCGCAGAAAATAGTATCCCCCAAGTTCCTTCAACTATCTCAAGCTAAAAAATTCGGAGACAGTGAGCGCATTTCAAACCGAATTATTGAAGCATTTCAGTGATACAAATATCAATGATTTTTCTGGAACGGCAAATCAGTACTGGTCCAAACTAAAGGAATGTCTCCGAAAATCAACCACTTCCACGCTAGAGCATAGCGCGCTAGTTGGGTATCGGAAGCAACTGTCCAATTGTCTGAAAAAGCTGCCAAAGCAGGTGATCTTGACTACCGGGTGCTTCGAAGATTTGCCACGAAAGCAGCAAGGCGGGAATCACTATTGGAGTGACATGGCCTCAAGAATGGAAGCGGCGACTCGATTAGGAGACAATAAGAAACTATTCTGCCTTCTTCATAAAGCAACTATGACTCGGAGAACTGATCAGTCAAATGGTAAGAGACAGCAATGGCGTTCTAATTAAAAGTATTAAGGATCGCCTCATAAGATGGAAAGAATTCTTTGAGGACAAACTTAACCATGAAGCGCCATCTGTTGCCCCTGATACATGCCGAAGCATACGCTTGCAATTGCGAGTCTCCAACAGAAGAAAAAATAAATTCAGTTATCCATAAGCTTAAGGCCAATAAAATTCCAGGAGAAGATGGTCTTCGTGCTGAGCTTTTCAAATGTTGTACATCGTCCTTCATAACGCACCTTCAACAAATGTACTCTTTAGTATGGAAAAAAGAAATATTACCAGATGATTGGAGCAAAGCAATTCTGTTCCCAATTCTCAAGAAAGATGATAGGACATATTGTGATAGGACATATTGAGGAATTATCGAGGAATCAGCCTACTAGACGTCTCAGCAAAAATTTTTGCTTCCCTGCTACTCAACAGACTTACGGAAGCACGGAACAGCAGGATGCGTCCTAATCAAGCTGGTTTCAGACCAGGGCGCGGTTGTACACATATTCACGTTACGAAGGATGTCGGAACACCGCTTCAAATATTAGCAAGCCACTGACACGTGTTTCATCGACTACCTTTGATTTGCGGCTACCTTTGATTCAATTGATAGAGAAGCGCTTTGTAAGGTGATGGAACGTGACGGTGTTCCAGAGAAAATCATTTCGAAATAAGAACAGGTGTCCATCAAGGCTGCATATTTTCCCCACAATATTCAACTATGCGATAGACTGGATAATGGACACCGCTTATCGGCACTTAAGAAGTGTCCGAATCAGTCCAGAGAATCGTATCATAGATCTTGAATACGCTGATGATGTAGTCCTTTTGACAGTTATAACGAAAGTAATATTAAATAAAGTGTCAGAAACTGCAACAAGAATCGGACTCAGGATCAGGATCAATGTAAATAAAACGAAAGTCTTTTCGTCTTATGCGCAAGAAGGTGATGAAATGCCTCTTTTCGTAAATTCATTGCCGGTTGAGGAAGTGCCCGATTTCAAATACCTTGGGTCCACTCTAATACCAAATGGACAGGCAAAAGATGATATTACAACTCGGATCACGGCAGCTAGAAATGCGTTCTTCCTGCTGACGAAACCTTTATGGAGTCGTCGTGAAATCACCATAAAAACGAAAGTCCGCATGTTTTGCCGTTCGTGATCCGTTCGATCTTACTATATAGTTCTGAGACATGGCCAATGAGAGTGGAGGATATTAAGAAGTTATCAGCCTTTGACCACTCTTGTCTAAGGTACATTTTACGGGTCCATCGAGCGGATAAAATATCACATGATCGCATCCACTTTCGTTTAAATAATGTTATCGCAGAGCGCCACCTTCGCTGGTTAAAGCACATTTTCCGTCGTCTACCACATGAGTTGACGCATATTCCGTATTTGCTAAACCGTGTGATGGTTAGCGTCAAAAGCGAGGTGGACCAATCAAGATCGGGACTGATACAGTGAGAAAAGATTTTGAACGTATAGGTGGACCTGCAATATATGGACTTAGACGATGGAAAAAGGAATGGCTTCCATTATTGTCGACGATAACATCAGACCGCGCCGCTTGGAAGCGTCTTACCCTTGTAGCAGTTGGAGCCAGCCTAACAAGTAATGGTGAGAGTTGTTAGAAGAAGAAAGAATCCTTCCATCAAATCAAACGCAGCATGTTCTTTTCTAAAAACCAGACGGTAACATTTTGTTAAACTCTCTGATAAACTGTCAGTCACGGTAACCTGGAAAATCATAGTTTCGAAATCTCATTATAACCTGTTGAAATTTAGCTAATCCTCCTTAAAAATCAGTTATCACTCATCCCGTTTTGCCGTACTGAAACTCAGTGGTGCGCACCAAAACTTTGTGAAAATCACTCCGTAATCACTCCTCTTTAAACTCCTTTTTACCGCTTTAATTGTCGCGGAACTATTTGTAGCCAATTATTATCATTTACTATTTTTTCCTCAACATTCCATCAAAGTGAAATTCTTTCACCATCACTACAGCAGTAGTCAGAAAATGCAAAGAGTAGCATGATGGTGAATGTAGAAGTCTAATGAAAATTTGGGAGGAGGGATGGTGAATTTCGATGGAAAATTTTAGGGATGGTGATTATCAAAGCAATGAACTAAGATTCGAAATGACAAAAGAAAACAATAGGTTTTGTGGATATATTAATAGGTATGCCAGAGTTTGAAAGTAATTTTGCCTGCCCATAGTACGAGCAGTCTTTTTTCTATTCTTTAATAGTAATCACCTGTACATGTAGAAGGCGAAGCTGATAATTGAACTCAAAGACACTTTTAAACGAGCAGTTGATAATAACGCTATAGAATAAAATTTGAGTGCTGAAAGCTTAAGAAACTTATTTTTAAGAATGTACTTTAGTGCTTCAATCAAATTTATCATTATAACTGATTAGGTTCATTCCGCTCGTCGGGTCAGAGAAATTTTGTTGCGGGTGATTTGACGATAGAATGAGTCGTCACTCACATTTATTTTTGCATGAAAATTATTATTTTTAATTACTTTATATCATAATTATAAAATAAAAAATTATTTTATAATTTCTATTTATAATTTCATCTGACAAAGCCCACACCTACCCACAATATTTTGGTAAATTTCATCAAAATAAATTTAATTAAATATTCATATAAACAAAATAATAAAAAATATAAAAATTAAGATTTTTAAAATAAATGAATAAACTTTATTTGATACTGATCAACTTGAATGACGTCTCGCAGTAGGAAACTCTGGTTCACGGATGTAAGAATTAAAACACACAAGAATGCTACCCATGTTTCTCGTCTCGTATAAGACAACCTAATCAAAAAAATTACGAAAATTACGAAAAAAATGCCTATCCAAATTCCATTCCTTGTCATGATTTTTTGCTACTTTTTATAAGATTTTTTACAAAATTAAAATTAAATTTAGTATACAATTAAAATTAGAAAAGATTAATTGAAAAAAAATGAACCTTTCTCGTCGATTAAACTGTGGCAAATAAGCGCATAAAATGAAAGAAATAACGCCATTTATGCAACCAAAAATAGTGGCAAACATTACATCCGTCCAAGATGTTATGAAAAACTTCCACAGTGAAATTTGCAACAGTGCACTGGCAAAAAAATAGATCACCGATGATATTAAGAAGAAGCATGACGCAGCAGCAGCTCGACGAATCATGAGCTTAAATTTACAAATATTTTTTCACATTCCATAATCTTGACCATAATATTGTATTGACCAATCACACCGCCCGAACACTCATCCAGTGGAGGGACCATCTCAAAAAGTATATATCTTTAAGCCCTCTCAAAATTCATATATTTGCTTAACTCTTGAAATCCTGCTGCGTTTTTACTTCTGCCGAAATATTTCCCCTTCTGATTTCTTAATTCTATCATATTTTCCACTATCTCTCACTGCATTTTTCAGCAACAGTTCTGACAAAAATGCGAACCAATCTTTCACGATGCCTTATGGGAATAACGGAGTTGGATGGTAATTAGAACCATAGCTGGATTATGGCAATAAACGATAGAACTAATGAACTACGATGGACTAAAGCACGGTTCAACCGCCTATAAAGGTATTCCAGTGATGATATATTTAAAAAGGTGCAGTGCAGTCTCGGAATGTATTATTCAGTACAAATTTTGACTTCAACATATTTCAGCCCAAAGTGGATTCTAACCTCGCGGTTTATGGCTAAAGCGAAGCAATTTTAATTTAGGCAATTTTTAATAAATAATCAAATTTTTATTGCCGATTTTTGCTAATTTTTTCATGAAGATTCTCAAAATTAAATTAAAATTTGAGAAGCTGCAAAACTTACAACTCTATCAAACCAATGATCGACAAATTCTTCATCGTTTACTTCCTTCTTTTTATCATCTTGAATATTTTCATTGAGCATTTTTTTTTATCAGAATTTTTCCTCAAAATCGAAAAATATTATGCTAAATAACTAAACTTCACATACCATCTATGTTAACGCAAATATTCCGTGCGTAACAAAACATTTGTGAATGTCGGCTAATACTTTTTAATAAAAATTATCCAAAATAAAAATTTTTCAACAAATATTTTTGTACGACCGAAACAAAAAATATAAGTTAAGACGAACGTAAAAAATACCAAACAATGTTGCAGAAATTAGACAATAACATAATTATGTAAAAATGAAAAAAAAGTTAGAGAATACAAGGTAATATAAAGAATACAAGGTAATCAACCTTGATAAAGAGCATTATCAATTTTATTCTTAATATGTATATTTATAACCACATCGGCTAAATAACGCAATACGCTCATGATAATACAACATTTTAAGATCTTACACAGAGAACCCACACTGGCAAAAAAACACAGTGTAATCATGATGATATAATTTTTTCGAGATCTTACGCACGAAAACCTCCGCGATTTGTGGCCGGCCGAACAGGACCACCTCTGCTTGCTGCGCGACCGCGAAATGCAGTTCCTCGACCTCCTGCAAAATTTATGCTCCACGAATTAATTATAAAAATGTTAAAATATAATACATAATTAAATTATAATATTAAAAACCGTTTAATTAAAAATATGAAAAAAAAGAGAATACCTCGAAGACCTCGTCCATCACGATTATCTCCCAATCCCATACCAACCGCACCTTTCTGGGCACGCCCAATGTTCTTAAACATAGGAGCATTTTTAAGCATATCGGGCAAAATCATGAATCTGATTTTGGAACCACGAATGAAAACATTAGCCAAGTCCTGAGTTTGTCCATTTCTGTGAGTAACTTTCACATCCCTCATCTGGCAGTTCATATTGTCCTCAGCCTAAAACAAGAGTCACAGTGGATAATTCTGACTTATTAATCTAATTTTTAATTTTTAATTTTTTTTTCAATTTAATAATCCTATTTCAGAAATCAGAACAAAAATCAGAAGACCAGAAGTTCTCCCTCAAAAATTTTAAATGATTACAATAGTTGAAAAACAAAGAACCACAAATAAAACAAGGCATCGAAAAATTTAAAAAACCTCAATTAAAACGCCTCGAAATGTTTCACCAATTGTTGTTTCCAATGTGACGGTATGACCTTCAGCTTCATGTAAAATTTTTATCGGCACACCAATTGCAGTCATTCTTTTTTCCAAAAAATTTTAACGGAAAAAGTTGAAACCTGAATATTTAATCGGAGAAAATAAAGATTTGGCGTAAAATCAGTTCAACGAAGCAAATAAACAAAAAACAATCCAAGTAATATTGTTTAATTAATTCAGACAATATTGTATGATCTAAATAAATCGGATAAAAATGCAGAGTTTAACAAAAAAAATCTTAACATAAGAATAGGTTTCAGATTTCAGACGACCGCACTGAAGATTCAAAAGAAATTCAGATACGTTCTTCTATTCGAGAAAAATACTCGTTAGCATAAAATTTATTTTAAACATTGGAATATGCTTTACTATGTAGCTGCAGCAAATGACAAATGACAAATGGAATTCAGAAAAACAGCCTTTCAATTGAAAATATTTTGGATTTACATGGTAAAGCATGAAGAATTGTAATTTAAACGGAACACTCATACGAACCCGTAGCCCTGACGATATTCCTCAAGGAATTCGTAGCCTCCGGTATGTTTTTCTTAAGGGAGAATCGTATAAAAATGTTAACAGCATAAATTGATGAAAAGATCCTTGATTTTTCAAATTCAGCAACTACTTTAAAGAAGACTATAAAACAGCAAACTTTTTTCCAATAGCCCATAATTTCCGGTTAGGCTCGATTCATTAGCTTGCTGAACCAGATAAATTTCGCCATGGTGCCACCTGACGACAGAACAGGAAAATCTTCAGCACCACTCGGATTCTTGAAAGACTTCTGCCGGAGGTAGGACTTCAGCACCAACGCCCAGAAATGATAATAGAGCAATAAACCACCCCAATACCCCCCACCCCCCGCCCCCCAACCCTCCACCACCCAACCTCCTCTTCCTACAAAAGATTTAGAGAAGAATTCAAATAATAAGTTGAAATATTCGAAACAAGAAAAGAAATAAATTTTTACAAGCGATTTCCATATAAGATCCAAACGAATAATAGCAGCTCTAAATTCAGCAATTCAAAACTATAGAATCTTTCTAAAAATTTTTATCGTTTCCGATTTGTCTTGTTGAACCGAGTGCTAGGCTAAAAGCCATAAGGTCAGTTGGGAGTGGAGGTGCACTGGGCCGCAAGCAGTTCCCAGGTTCGTGGGATTAGAATCGAACTTGCGATACTTGGCGATTACATTCCAAACAATGCTATCTCTGGGTCGTATTCAATTGCGTTTGTAATGTTGTTGGTACATTTACATTTCAATTTTTAAAAAATGGCGACGCGTTCGGAGTTCCGAGAAAATCGTTTGGGAATAGATAAGTTAAATAATTATGCCACTGGGCAGAATTACCTTGCTAATTACAGCTATTGTTTAAGCTCGCACAGTTATTCCTTGGACCTTCGCCATACCTCGTCAACAAATCCTTTACTATATCCCTTTAGCCTCAAACTGGCTGAATGGCCCTTTAACTTTGGTGCCTTATTTCCCTTTCAGCTTCGATTTCAGAAAAACAACGTTGCTGAAGCCAAAAGTTGTCGCAGAATACGAAGCATTTATTATAATTGCTTTTATTTTTGTTATTTGTGCGTTGTACAAGGATTATTTCTAATTCATGTTCGGTTGGTAGACGTGGAATTTCTGCGCTATCAACGATATGAAAGTGGCTTTTTTCCTTCTCCGATGGTTCCAAACGCTAAAGTGTTTAAAGATTTATTGGATGTCGAAAATGTCAGTTTTGGTTTTAAAACAACAACAGCGTGGTACTTCACCAAATCAATATTTGTTGAAGAAATGAGTAGCAAAAACTATGGACTTCATGTTGAGCTGCATACATCCGAGCCAGTTATTAAATGATAATTCATTAAGCTGAAATCAAACCACTTCTCGACACCCATTATTAGCTAAGATACCTCATAAGCATTTGGCACCAAAGTTAAAGGACCTTGAAAGGGTCTCCAACAAATATTCCATCTAAGCGACTATTCAGCGACTATTTGCTTTCGTAATAGAGCAAGCCTAATGGCCAAAACTCCAAATGATTATTTTTTTCAAGTCGTATAAAATGTTATTACGCTTCCTATACTAGAATTCTCCATTGTTCGCTTTGAAATAAATTCTCTAAACTACTATAAATAATGAAGATAATAGAAGTATTAAAAAAATCAATAACACAGCCGTAGAAAATTCAATGTAGGGACATGGCAGATTTTAACCCCCTACTGTATCTCACTGTATTCCCTTAAATCCTTTTCATTCTCTCACCATTTTCCTCAAAAACTCATTCTGTTAAAGCTTCTTAGTATTTCCTTAGAACTTTGTATTTAGCATTTGCTATTTCTCAACGTCATCTCGAACTCTATAAGACTTTAAACTATTATTAAATCCATGCCGAATCGTGTTAAATATTACATTATTATATTTTTGAATTTTCTTTGTAATCCAATCTCTCCTCAAAAAATGCTTTTTTCTTTTTTTCTATCGATTTTTATGAGGGATTTCTAATTTTAGAGAGATTTGATAGAATAGTATGGGAATCACAGGTATTGAGGAGTAACTACACTTAATGGTATTTGGTGGACGTAAAATTAGCAGCTAATAGTGATAATAAGGGAACATAGCTGAGATTCTAAGTGTTAAGAGATATACCGAGAGCATGAAAATGGCATTCTGAAATAGAACTTATCTTTGCATTCATATTTAATTATTACATATTTAATTATTATCTGGCTCCTCCATAAAACAAAAATTTATTTTTTATTAATGCACAAATAATCAATTAGTTGATAAATAAAACAATTTCAAAAATTTAAAGTTAGATTCAGATTTAAAATAAGAAATGAATAAAACGATTGTCGAAGAAATATAAAATGAAACAATTTTTTCGATAAAAAAAGGAGATCTAAGTAAATCGTTCGTTTAAACCAACTTTTACCCACGCGTTTTGTGCAATTCTTTTAAATTATAAGTGGTGAGCCATTTATAGAATAAGCAATTTCACCTTTTCGAATATATCGAGGATTCGTCTTCTTAATGGCACTTAAAAAAAAAAATTATTTCAGCAGAAAATGTAAGATATAACGACACAAATTCATGTTTTAATTTTTGTTAAATAGAAAACTTTTAAAATATGCTTTCCATTATAAGTTGCCAGGAAATCAGTAACCTAGTATGTTTTGTTGTGTTACTGAGTGAAAATTTAATTGGAATTGGAATTGAAAAAAACAGCTCTTATTTATTTATTTACGGTTTTATCGTACATTGAATGCTTTATTTCACTTGCTTTGAATGAAAGATGTTGCTACCCGAATAAATAAATATCCGAAATATTTTCCTTTATTAATGTTTTATAATCATAGAAATTTATAAAGATACAAACCCTGACATAGGAAAAAATACGTTAAGCTGTCCACCAGAGTGAACATTCAGTACACGCGACAACCGCGAAGTGAGCTTTTTTGTCTCGTATTCTTTTTCTTCACTTTCATCATCTTAAAAAATTAAAATCTTTTTTTTTGCAATAATTGGGCCGGATCTTTTTTTAATTCTGAGATCTAGCTTTTTATCAAAAAAATCAGAAAAATTTATAAAATCTACACGTAACAATCGCAAAAACAAAAAAAAGAACCAACCTTCAGCAATAGCTTTCATATATTCAAATAAATTTTGCTTCAGAAGTTCCTGCAATAATTTTTTGGAATTTTTCCCACAATTACACACAATTAATTTTTTATTTTCTTAAGAAAATCTTAAAAAAATTTTTAGTATAGTATTGATAATTTAAGGAACTGGCAAATAAAAAACCTTAGGTAGTTTCTCGATCTCTGAGCGATATAATTCTAAAACAATTTTCATTGATGAAGTCACAAGGCTTTCAGCATTCTCTAATTTTTTACCAACTGAAATAAAATGAAAATTTTGTAAATTTATTCTTTTCTTAAGAAAAACTATTAAACAACTAGTAAAATTGATCATCCAGTAATTGGCAGAATTTTTATTTCATTAAGCAATAACAATTTTATATCAGACCTGGCCATTTTCATATAAAAACTTGATATCAATGCTTTTAATTAAATTATCTCCACAACAGTCCCGCAACGTTATTCTTTTAACATCCTTCGATCGCTACACTAAGAGATTCCCAAAAAACTTTATTTTACCCGTTATATTACCTCAAAGCTTTCCTCTCTTTTATATCATCATAACAAATACATAATTTATATAAAATATATAAAACTAAACTATAATATAGCAAAGAAACAACAGATGGAAAGAGCTAAAAAAAGGAAAAATATTCTACGAAGACAAAAATAATAGCAAAAAAAGGAAAATATTCGATGAAGAAAAATAGTCGCAAAGATAATACAAGAGATTAAAGCAAGGTAGCAACAATAATGGGACCAGTAGATGAAGCTGAGATACAATAATGACAAAACTTTCTGGAACTATTATAAGGTAACGAGATCTTCCATGCGAAGACGAGATCGATAAAAAAAGCGTAACAGAGTAAAAAAAAATTAGGGAGACTTTAAAAAATTGATATAAACAAGTAATAATATAGAGAAAACCCAAGCGTCACTCTTGAAATATATACGCAAATTCGAAAAAAACAAAATTGGAGCAATGGAGAAGCCCAAGCCTAAAATCACTAAACCAAAGCCTTATTGAATTCTTATAATTCTTAATGAATTTAAATTCAAATCAAATGTTTTTTTTTTTTTTAAAGAGTCCTCATTACTGTTTAAACTCGCTTCGCTGGCTTGTCGCATTGGACAATAAGCTAGGGAGTTCCTTGGCGATAGAAATACAGGTGTCGCCAGCATCACCCGAATTTTTGTACAGGTTTACTCCTGCGAAGAATCGAACCTCAGCATCGGCGCTCCCAACTGAGCGACAGTCCACTGAGCCATTCTATCCCCTAGCCTAAAAGCTTTATTGAATTCTTGTAATTCTTAAGGAATTCAAATTCAAATCAAATGTATAAATAAATGTATAAATCAAAAAGCTTAGATTCTACTAAATATGGATAGAATGGCTCAATGGTTGTTGCTCGGTTGGGGGCGCTGGTGCTGAGATTCGATTCCCGCAGCAGTAAAACTGTCCAAAAATCCGCCTGATGCCGGCGACTCACCTGTCATTCTGTCGCCAAGGGATGCCCTGGCACATTCCTAATGCGATAAGCCAGTGGAGCGAGTTTAACCAGCAATGGTGAGGACTCTTAAAAAACGATTCTGCCAAATACCAAATAAAAATAAACAATAAAAAACGACAAACATTCTATATCGAATTGTCTTTTCCACGAGCCAATCTTCTCATCCATTTCACCTTTTATTTCCAACTTTGTTTTATTCATCCTCTTCGCTAAAATGCACCGACACACCAATATATACGCTTATTCACACCGAAATAATTTTCTATTTTAATATTTCCCAATTTGAATTTATTTGAATTTCTTTCGTTTCAAGAGAATCACACATTTTTTGCAGCGCAATATCCTTGTATAAACCGATAAGCGCCATTAACGATATGAAATCTTTATAAGAAATGTGACCAAAAGGTAACAATGCAAAAAGAATAAAAGCGCGAATCATTTAAATATTATGCAGTTCAAAATATAAAAAGGAAATAAACATAAGAAATTTTAATGAAATTCCTCAAAAAGAAGTATCAGCCGAATTCATATCATATCATATCATATCATTATAGGAATATTATTCAGTTTTCTATCGAAATTTCCTGGCTCAATTTTCTCGTAGAACAATTGAAGATGAAAGACGGTGGAGGGATTATAAATGAGAAACAGTTGAGCAATGGGGGGGGGGGGGAGGGCAAAATATAAAAGTAGCGAAATAACAATGCAGGAATGAGAGAGAATGAAGAAAGCCAAAAGTTAAAGGGCATAATTGGCCAAGTGACTTAAAAATAATGTTATTCCGTAGTATAAGGACTTCTTTATTCGTTTAACACATAGAATTCAGGTTTAACTCGCCATGCGTGCAATGATGAATCCTACAGTTAATTGCTGTATATACCGACATTTTGGTGGATTTTTTTGGCTCAGCTTTATTTGATCAGAATGTGATATAGCATTGCGCATTTTAAAATCAGAGGCACAGATCCGGGATTCGTTAAAGCTAAATTTGGGCGAATCGTAATTGAATTGGGGTGAATCATCTGGTTACATTTGGATCAGTCAATCAAATATACCTTCACGCAGCTGCACCACTCATCCATAGAGTAAGCGGTTGGTTAGCACTCAAAATTTCAGTTTGGTCTCTCTCTCTCTCTCTTTCTCCGCTAGTGATGATGGAAGTGCAAGAGGATTGCCAGTACCATCAGGATTTTTTAATGATAGCTTTACTCCTATTGAGGAATGGTCCAAGTCCTTGACTACTCTCAAAATCCTGCCAATTAAAAATACAGAAATTCTCGATGTGGTAAAGCGATCGTATTAATCTTAATAAAGCTCACAGATTCTTCTGACAGCCGAGTTAGTGCACCGCTAAGGAAAGAATTGCCGTTCTTGCAATTTTTTCTCAAATAATTGCTTTTAATTCGTATTTTTAAATAAATAAGATTTGTCAGAATAGGAAAAGAATTTTTTCATTTCCCAAACCAAGTGTTCAATTCTTTATTGGAAATTTCAAAAAAAAATTAATTTTTATTTTCAGTTTTATTTTTAATTTTATTAAAAGCCTAATTCTTAATTTTTTATAGATTTAATATTATCGTGGAAAAATTAATAAAAAATGAATAACGAAAGAATTTTGCTAATTTTGATAAATGCTAATTTTTTAAGAAGTTTTCAAGAAATAATTTTTCTAATTAACCAAATTAAAAATAAAAATTTTATTAAAGTAATAATAATGAAATTTTAATAAAAATCCAATTAATTCATTAAGCTTTGAAATACTTTTTTAAACCGTTTTTTAAAAGTGCAATGCCTTTCCTTTGAATCAAAATGTGCAGAAGAAACACAGCGGTGACATACATTTGAACAAAAAACAATTATAAACTATAAAGAGAAATCTTCAAGAAAATATTCTTTCGAAATATTCTTCTATTTCCAATAGATGAAATATTGAAGTGATTGTCGATTTTCTTTAATAGTAAATTCAAATTCATAAATTTGAGTTCTTTTCAAATATCATATCTGAAACTGGAAATTTATCCTAGAAGCGTTAGGTAGATAGGTAAGATTAGGTTAGGTTGCATCAGTAGATAGCTAGGTAAGATTAGATTGGCTAAATACGATTATGGAAATATTTAACTTACTTGTAATTGCATAAAACTTGAAGCATTTCTTGTCGAATTTGTGGATTACATAAGAAGTAAACCACGAGCCGAAGAAGACTATTCAGTGTGACCAAAATGCTTATAAGATCAGCACTTATTGTATAGAATTTCGTACTGAAACAATTTATCAAAAAGTTAGAAAGAAGTAAAAAATAAATATGTAAGGTAGGTAATATTTTTCATCAAGTTGTTTTAAAAAAATATCTAAAAAAACTTGAAAAACATGAAAAATTTGAAAAATTCATTGAAGAATAAAGAATATTGCTAGAAATTGATTGACTTGAATAAGATGACCATTTTTATAAACCCGAGATTGATATTGCCATATCTATATTGAATTCAGCTACAAATTCAATTTCTATTCGACGGTGAAAGTGAACTTGTTACTAAAGATGAAATCTAGGTCGTAGTGAGGATACACTTTCACCAAATGATTTTCCACCAAAGGAGTCTTTTGCTAGCAGCCAGTGGAGCTAACCAGTAATAGTGAATATTTTATCTATTTTCTCTTCATCTTTATCGACAATACTAAATAATTGCGATATTCCATACTAATTTCGTTCTTGTTTAAAAAAAGGAAATTAGCCTTGTTCCATCCTCGTTCAATAACAGTGAGCTGTCGTGAAATAAATTTTCCAACAGAGTAATGAAAAATGAAAAACTATTGCAAAAAAGGTGAGTGGAAACGATTGCAACGACAGTCCATGTTGCATATTTTAGTTCGTCTCTTCGCCTACGACTTAAATTTTGTGAAAATTGGCTATCTGAAAAAAATTTACTATATAGAAAATATTATACTATGAATAAAATCTTGTGAAAATTTTCTATTAAAGAAATTCAATTTTTAACCAAAACCATTTAGTGAATTCAATGAACTTTTTTTCTTTTTTTAAAGAGTCTTCACCATTACTGGTTAAACTTGCTCCTCTGGCTTGTCGCACTGGACAAATATGCCAGGGAGTCCCTCGGCGATAAAAGTACGGGTGAGTCGAAAGCATCACCCGGATTTTTGGACAAATTTACTCCTGAGGGAATAGAAGCTCAGCATTGAGCCTCCGAATTCAACCTGCTGACCATCCTGCCTAATGAACTAAATTGCATTAAATCTAAATTAATTAAAATTAAACTAATTAGATGAAGTTATACAAAGTGGAAGATAATGATGTAGTACAGAAAAATTTCTCTTAGAATTCGATCAAACTGGCTCATATTTCGCAATTTTAGGTAAAAAAAAAAGTGCAATTTTATACAAAAGGCAACTTCAGGAAAAGTGCAAAAAAGTTCAATTTCGAGCAAAAAGCAAAAATAAAGAGTAATTTTAATTAAAATATATAATAATATAAGTAAAAATTGCCTCAATAAATGTATTTCAAGAAACATGAAAAAGAAATGGGAAATGAAAGCAATAAAGGGATGCAATAGCAAACTAGATTCAATTAAAATTGTTGAATTGAGCGATGAGGAAATAATCATTTAATTCAACTAAATATTGAAAGTGCAAGCAGCTCAGTTGAATGGTTATTGTTCTCTTTTATAGCCTCAAGCGTCAGATTTTTGACCCTATTTAGATATATAAATTTGAATGTTAGTGAGCCATCTATACTTTATTTCAAAGTCGCTCTCTTCCAAAAATTTCTCATCGCCAGTAGAACGAATCCAACAAGAAATGATGAGCTTAACTATGTAATTCCCATGGTAGGTATAATTGAAATATATGAAAAAAATTAATAAGAAAACTTTTATATTTTTTTTCATTCATCCCTACTCATAATATTATAATATAACTAGATGGGTAAAAATTCTCGCCTATGGCATCTTTGTCATTAATAAGCGCTGAAAAATGGAGCTCTGATCCCGATTGTTCTGGTTAAAAATGTTCAAATAATTTCTTACTTTTTTAAGATATCTGTATTCTGTACTCCCTTTCTGCTTTCTGCTTGTTTTATAGACATATTATTGCAAAAAAAATATAATTGAAAATAGTTGATAAACGTAGGAATCAATCAAAAACATTCATAACTCATGAATTAAGAATCAAACTACGACTCAAAAAATTAAACAAAAATTAAATAAAAAATACAATTTATTTCTAACAAATCGTTGACTCACATGCTTCGGAAGCAGAAAATTCTTTTTAGTATGGAAATACCTTTTAAGTATGAATTCGATAAAATTGGTATATCTATGAGTAAATTTTGATACAATCGTCGTCGAGTTAGGAGAACAATTAAAATATTTAATATGAGAAGAAGTAAAAATGGTAAAAAGATATGAAGCACGTTGAGTACATAAAAATTATAAATTTTATATGAGTCGATAGCAATGAGGACAGGTTGAAACGAGTATTCCTAAAATTATTCGTAGTTTATAAATAAAAAAATACAAATTTCATGAAAAAATAAAACGATTATCTGAAAGAAATAATCGCGCATTAGAAGCGAATTTCTATTATTTCTTTAAGAAATTTATAAATAATATTGTCAATTTATTTCCTATATTTATTAATGAATTTTTTTATATAATAGGTTTAACAATTTAGTAATTCGTATAGCTAAATTTTTATTTAAACTTTTAATTTTTCATAAATTTATATTTATTCACCAAAAAAAAGTTAATAGTAAAAGTAGTAAAAGTAGTTAATTAATTAATGAAAGAAAATTTTTTTCGAAAGTAAAAAAATTTAAAGAAAAACCTGAAATATTAAAGAAAATAAACCTGAAATGAAGGACAATATTCGTTGTAAATAATCGTATAATCGAAAAAAGCTGGCACTCGAAGTACCAGTACAATAAACAAAAGTATTACAACAGTTAGAAATCTGCCATTATTCCTAAAAAATTCAAACAATCATTAGAATTTTTTATTGTTTTAACATTCAAATTTATCGAATTTCTATTTTTTGAACAATTTTCGGCCACTCTTGTGTTGACCCTGGCAAATGTTGCTTCCACTACCACTTCCACCATTAAAAGGAAATACAGCACTATTTATTTATATTGGAACAACATTAAATAGAGACAACTGACTCTTTTTTCCTACTGGAGAAGAAAAATCCAAATATATTCAATTGTTTAAAAAATTCTTTTAGAAAAATCTAAAATGCTTTATGTTCACTTTTAACGGTTAACTTTTTAAAATTCTTGAAAGCACTTATTATGCTTTCTTGAAAACTTGCCGAAACTCCTTGTGGCCGCTTAGCATCTCTCCTGACCGTTACCAATTAGCTGCAGTCCGATTTCATCTCATCTTCACCTCCTCAAAGACAACTGTCACAATTTATCAGTTTCTTAAACGGTTATATTGTTATACTTCCTCCGACATTCCCCTCCACTTCCACAAACCTCATTTTGCTCGTTTTATATCTTCTCAAACTCTCATGTTTTCCTTACTCGAAAAAGGTGGTTACGATATTGTACTCCTTTAGCATCCTGCCAAATGTTATAAATAATATAGTGAAGTCAAATTATGACTTTTTAAAATTACCACTGGAAAAGCGTTATATATCTTTAACATGGCTCCAAACCAGCTCTTAAAATCACCTTAGACCCTGTGGGATTCCTACTTTGGCTTCACGATATCATAGGCCCAATATTTGGTTTTTAATGAAAATAAATAGGTTAAAGAAGAAACTGTAGAGCTGTGGATCCATCTGTACTCCTCAAGCGGTTCTCTCATGCATAAAGAAAGACAAAGCAGCAAGTTGAATTAAAAATTCTATGGCGAATGCTGTCATTTACGAGTTCACGTAATTTAATAGTTCTTTCTTCGTCATTTATTTGTTTAACAAAAGAAGAATTCATAACTAAACTAAACTAATAAGCTAAAGAATATTAATTTGTCATTATAACTTGGAATGGGCTTAACAGGCACTTCAGCTTTCTATATGGCTATTTGTTATGAAGACATCTTTCTTTGTTCTTTTTTTTCATTCCTCAATTTTGTCTCCACCATTGAATGGCTTCTTTGTTATTTAATATAAACTACAAACGTTGTTAAAAATGCCATCGATTGCAATCCAGAAACGATAACAAATCGTTCAACGGTTGCGCACAAAACCATATAAGTCGATGCGAATTGAACTAAATTCTTTTTTCAATAAATTACAAATATTTAAATATAATTTTGCTCATTCATATTTGTATTATCGTTTATATCTATAAATATCGACAAAGTGCAATTTTTACCAATAATCGCCATATCTTTTAAAAAAAAAGGCCTTTACGAAAAATTTTAAAATTTCGAATACTTACCAAACTTGCTTATTCCATAAACTTGTATAACATATGAATTATATATGTGGTGCAATGAATTAATTGAATAAAAAAGTGCTAAAGCATCGATTGTGAAAAAAGGTATATATAATAAACATATTAGCATATCAAATATTGCTAAAACTAATAAATAAAAACGATGTGATTTGAATGAAGGTTTATTCCAGAACATCACCTGAAAATCTTTTCCAGTGTTACAACCAATATTTGTTTCTAACTTTTATTTTTTTATTTTATTATTTTATTTTTATTAATATTACATTACTTTTATATTATCTAACATCACTTTTTATTATCTTTGTACTGTAATATTAATGTTTATTTTTCAATCAAAATCAAAAATCTTATTTTATAAACGAACTCATTCTTAAATTTAAAATTAATATTATTTAAAAATCTAGTAAATTTTAAAATTCAGAAAAAAACGATCTTTTTTTCGTGCAATGGTCGATTTCAAAACGAAATTTTTGTTATTTCTTTTAATTTTTATCATTCCTATCTTCATATTTATTATCATTTTTTTGGCTAAATTATTATGAAATGACATACGAATAAAAAGGCATTAGAAAGAATTCCTATAAGAGCGATCGGCGTTCCGAGAAATACGACGAGCCCAAACCTCGCACTATCATAATCTTCATTCTTTATGCAATATGATTCGCTATTATTTGACATTTTTATTTTAAAACTCGAAACTGTAAAAATTTGTCTGAATATTAAGTTTTTTCGATTCATTTAACGAAAAGTAGAATATTAAAGTTGGTACAATTCTTTGCCTAAGGTCACAAATACGAATTCGAGGCGTAAACCTTTTCATTAAAAGTGAAATAGGCTTGTGAAGTTGCCATATTCCAAATCATTGTTAAGAAATTTTCCTTTTTTTTGTTAAAAAAATTTCTTTTCAAATCTCAAAACTATTTCACTTACCCAATAAATTTCTATAAATTAGATAAAATTTTAAACTAAATTCAAAAAAAGCGAAACATTTAAAAAACATTTAAATAATTTTTATTAATTCAAATTTTGTGAAAATACTGGGATGAATAAGAGTTTGCTTTTCTATGTTAAAATGAAAATTTAACTAAACACAATATAAAATATTATTAAATAATCGATAAAAAATATAATTTTCTGCCATTTTTAAAACCTTTGAAATGCTAAATTTGGAAAGTGAGAAAAAAAATTATAGGAAAATTAAATTGGAAAAATTCTTACTTATAAATTTTAATTGAGTAACCGGAAAATGAACAATATATTGCTGCTTCAAAACAGTTAATGAAATTAACAGATGAAATTAGAAAAGGCAAAAAATTTGACTTATTTATTTACGATCTTATTGCGACTAAAGAAATAAAATAAAATACTTATATTAGTAGTTATCATTTTTGGTTAACTAAGCTTCATTAATTGTTGCTAGTTTAGTTAGAAATATTTCCCAGGTAGTTGTCACTTCATGTTAGAGATACAAATAAATAGTACGACAACTGCCAGTGCGACAACTAGGTTTAGTGGCAGTTTTTCCGAGGCAATAGCCTATTATTCGGTATTCTATCCACTCGGCTGTTCTATTTCTTATTCAGAGATGAATGCAGAAAGAATATGTTAAAGCCAAAATTCAATTTATTAAATTTTTTTAGTATATTTTTTATTTGAAAGTTGATAAGACGATCCATCAATCATGTAAAAAAAAAACCAAAATGAAGCATGAAATGTTTTTATGAGATTCGCTTAACATCCATCTTTAGCTTATTTTCGACTTAGGTTCTAAAATTATTTATCTATTCACTACTATTTAAAATTAGATTTAATCCAAATATGTATGTATGCCTTTCATACTCTTCGCTCATATAAAGCGATTTTAATATGTCAATAGCCGATAAATATTTATTTTAAACTAATCTTTTTTTCGGCAGTTTTATCCAGAACGAATTCAAAATGCTATGATGTTTGCAATGCGATACATTTAAATGAAGTGACTAAAGCTTTCTTATTATTATTTTAATCAACATAATCATTATTTATCGCCATTCGTGCCGATAAAAAAATTGAACGTTTATTTAGAATTAATTTTTAGAATTTGATGATTTTAAAATAATGAAAGTTTCTTATAAAAAAACTTTAATTGCAACAAAATAGTAAGGAAAGAAGAAATCCATAGAAAATAGAAAAACAGAATTCGAATTTACTTAGAGCCGATTAACAAAAAAAAATTAGGTAATGGAAGGAAGAAAACAAGAAAATAAGCAAATAATCAAACATCTTGCTAAACGGCTACGAAACATGGCCAATCAGAGTGGATATTAAGAAACAATTAGCCTTTGACCACTCATATCTAAGATACATTTTGCCATTTTGCAGATCCATCGAGCTGATCGCACATGATTGCATCCATTTTCGTTCAAATACCACCAGTATTAATAATGTTAGTACAGAGCATCGCCTTCGATTAGGGCACGTTCTCCGTCGTCAACCACACGAGTTGACGCATATTTCGATACTTTTCGGATCCCTGGATGAATGGCATCAAAATCGAGGAGGGCCAATCAAGAACTGAACTGAACTGATAGTCAGGTAAGATTTTGAACATATTGGAGGACCAGTGTATGGATTTAAACGATGGAAAAAGGAATAGCTTCTTACTACTAGCAATGGCGTCGGACCGAGCAGCTTTGAGATGCCTTTCCTCTGTAGCCAGTGGACCTAGCCTAACCAGATGAGAGCTGAGAGCTGCTAGAAGAAGAAAATAATTTAGCCGATTAGCATAGAAAAAAATTGGTAGAAAGAAAACAATAAAATAAGCAAACACAAAATTAATAAAAAATTGAGGAGTGATAAAATTGTTATTAAAAAGGAAATTCTCTTGAGAATGCCGTAATATTGACAATTATCGTGGAATTTTTATTTTGCTAAGAGTAAATCTGTCATAAAAGTCAATTTTGGATGGCTGCTGGGAAGCCACCTTCAGTCCAAATATGGCTGTATAATGAAAGCATTAAACAACATTTGCAAACCAAATCCCAATTGGCACTGCAATCTGTTTTACGTCAAATTCAAATATGCTTCTCATATGCAAATTTTTTAAAATTTTTTGCCCATATTGGCCAAGAAATTGACTCTAATTGCTGGTCATTGGCCAATATTTATATACAATCCAAGTTGCAGTTGAAAGAAAAAACTTAGTAGAATTTAAAAAAAAAGACCACATAACAAGATTATAATTGATGAAAGGAAGAAATAAATTTAAATTGAAAGTGATGCCGAATGAAATTCGAGACAACAGCCACACTCTAAAAGCTTTTATGGAGCCCCAATAGTATTTGGAAATGAACGTGAAATTTTAAAAAAAAGCTTGCATATGCCATAGAAAATTGCTAAATTAAATAAAAAAATTAAAAACTTAAGAAAAAGTAAATTCTGATTTAAAAGAACAATATATTCGCTAACTAATCGAAAAACGAATTCAAAGAAGTGAAATCGCAATCAACATTTGATATGTTCGAAAATTCTTAAAGAATGAGAAAATCGAAACTTTCATAGATATAAAATAGGCAAAATCGGACTATCATTATCTCTTTATCATTCCCATAGTTATTTTTACTTTTTAATCAAAAACCTTTAATAAAATTCCCAAAGTTTTAGGCCAATTTTTAGTTGAATTTTTTTCGATTAAACTATTTCGAAAAATATTTTAAATATAAATGAAACCAACAAATAAACAAAATTTTCGCTGAAAAATCTTAAAGAAGTTTATGAAAAGAATTGAAATGAGAATTATAAAATATCAAAAAGAACGAATCGAAAGATTTTAATTTTCTTTAATTTAATCTAAAGAAATAGGAGAATATTCAGCAGCTCCATGGTTTATTTTATGTGGCTAAATAAATAATTTTTCTATTGAAATAATTTAATTAATTTTAACCGATAACTCGTTTTATTATTATTATTTTTTGCTTATATTTCTCAGAAGATTTATCAGATTTTATCAAATTTTCTTAACAGAGAGTGCGGTTCCATAAGGATTCGAAATTGCAGCTCAGCAATCCCGTACAGTGAACGTGCATACTACTAATAAAGTTCAAGAGCTTAATAAAAATTTGTTTTTTTTTCAAATCCCAGGTTCAAGTAAGATTCGAAAGCACATATTTTAAACAAGAGTGCTCAAAACGGCTAAATATCGTTTCATTTATAAGCACAGGGAGATTCGCGCAAGATAATCCTTATGCCAATCTAAATCCTATAATTTTTGTTCAGTTAAATATCCTTATCAGTTTCTTAATAACTTATTGTTCAATTTTAATTCTTTGTTCAGAGATAAGTTCTTGTATTTAGTCAGTTATTTCATACATATTTAAGATATCAGCCCTTAAATACAATCCAAAGAAAAATGCCAAGAGATGTTGAATAAACGAATAGAATATCTTTGCACTACTTCGATTAAAAACGTGAAAACCTAGTGAAATGTTTAATACTACAAAGTAATTTTCCTATAACAGTTAAATATTTATTGTAAAAATTGACAAATCGAATTTTTAACATAATAAACAGTGCAACTGTTGTAGATTTCCCATACGAGTAACAAAGTTTTCGTCAAACATTTTGTTTTCATCAAGCATAATTTACCTTCTCCAGAATTCTTTCAAATCTAACACTTCGAGGCATTATTAGTATAGTTTCATTAACTTATTACTAAATGAAATCGAAGAATAATTTTCATCTAATCTAACAGCATCGTTTATAATTTTCTGCAGTTGAATACCCGCAAGCAAAAATTGTGACAAACCGAAGAGGCCAAAAATTTAAAATAGTACCACTTTATACGAATTGCACGTGATAATAAACCAAAAAACTATTAAAAGTTAAAATTTAAGTTAAAATTTTGAAACGTTTTGTATAAAAATAAAAGAGCAAATTTTTAACATCTTATTTGCTTTACAAGTAATTAAATTTATATTCATAAAGATAAAAATAAAAATTGAAGAAATTCGAAGAAAAATGGTGAAGAAAAGCAATGTAGTTAGTTAGAATTCCTAGATTCTTAGCTGTTAATGCGATAAGGAAATCAGAGAATCAATTAGAGGTAGAAACACAGATGGACCCTCAGCACTAGAACCAGAACAGGTTTACGCTGCCAAAGATATGGACTTAGACGATGGAAAAAGAAATGGCTCTATTATTGAAATACTTTTATGAGAATGTTTCATTTTGCAAAATAAATCTTTTCAATTAGGTGAAATTCTCATGGACTGAAAAAAAAACATGATTTTTCATGATGAAATAATATTTTATAAATAGAAAATCAAAATCATTTTTAAAAAATTTTCATTTTTTAAGTGGTTTTTTTATTCTCATTTCTACTTTTTATTCTAATTAAATACTTTTAATAAAAATATTAGCTGTAGCTATCATTCGTTTCGAAAATTTTGATGATGGCGAAATTTCAAAATAGTTGCAATTTTCTTGATTGGGTGACTTTTCTGTTGCTTCGTTCATTTCTAAAATATTTTAGTGAAGATTTTGAAAAACTGATAAGAAAATTAATTAAACCATCAAATAGCAGATACCTCATTATTTTTATATTTTTATTTTTATATGCATCAACATGCCCACAGCTTGAAAAATTTTGGTAGGATTCTTCTTTCTATGAAATTCGAGATTTTAAAGTATAAATCTATGAA